AACAGCGAGGGTGCCTGGACTTCGGAGGATATCCGGTCAAACGGTACGGAACAGGTTGAAAGAGATTGGATTGAGAGCAAGGAGACTCGACGTCGGGACCGTGCTACGTCGTCGCCATCGCGCTCAAGGTCTCCGTCAACTAAAATTATCCACTTGGTTGTATAGACATGACCTTCTTCTAAACTGATGTAAAAATCTATGCACTAAAGTCTATTTGTGGACGAGTTATGCATGTTTGAAAATACAACATTTTCGCAACGGATTTCTGGCCTATGCATTTCTTTTTTGGGATGGTATATATAAGATGGTTGTAGCTGTTCCTACTAACAAGGCCTAACGTGACCTAACCGACAGTGTAACAATAACATAACCGTTATATGTAAGCATCACCACATAAATTGTTTTGTTCAAAGAACCTGGTGTAGTGGCTGACCAACTAATGCCCATATATTAAATGAGGGACAAATCTGTGAAAACCACATATCAGAGCTATCAACCTGTGACTTGTCTCAAACATGAACACATTCCATTTCTATGTTGTACTAAATTCCAAAGCTCAGCTCATCTCTAATATTAACGACAATCCCTAGTGTTATCATGGCAGGACGTTCTTAATATTCCCAGAGTGTATGTCACTACCGTGTGAATTCTCGAAACCTCCAAGAATTTGTGAGTGAGTGAGTTTAGTTTTACGCCTCTTTTAGCAATATTCCAGAAACATCACGGCAGGGGACACCGGAAATGGGCTTCACACATTGTACCCATGGGGGGATAGACCCCGGGTCTTCAGCGTGACGAGCGAACGCTTTAACCACTAGGCTACCCCACCACCCCTGGTGGCACACGACACACCTCAGGCTGAATTTCGTCAGTTGAACCATTCATAATGACGACTACATCAAATTGGTGGTGGTAGGTTGGAGGATGGGGAGGACATTTAGGCGAAAAGAGGGCATCCCCATGGGCACCAATTTATCGAAATGTCGACTCGGAATCAAAACTACGTCTAATCAAAAGTTGTGACGAACACGTTTGGCTACAGCTTCATGTATATCACTGATTTGATAACGCTCAGTAAGGTTTAAATAGGCATTCCCTTCCACTAGTTTACCCACCTGTACAAATAGAACAGCCCCGTGATACCGCCTCCGATAGGGTTTTACATTTGGATCAATACAGTGATTCACACATAAAAACTCTCCACAAAACCCTCATCACTCCCACCATCCCTTTACGTCGGGCAATAGTCCTGCAATTCCAGTCGACGTTTCCCATTTTTGAAGCACATTCTAACATATTCGTTCTACGAACATCTCATATCTCATGACAAAAGGAACGTCTGATGCAATTCCTCATACTAACTTGTAGGTCATGTTTTATGTTTTCACAGGTGAACAATTGCCTCTGTCTGTATTAATGAGGGGTGCCACGGGTGGGAACAATTGCCTCTGTCTGTATTAATGAGGGGTGCCACGGGTGGGAACAATTGCCTCTGTCTGTATTAATGAGGGGTGCCACGGGTGGGAACAATTGCCTCTGTCTGTATTAATGAGGGGTGCCACGGGTGGGAACAATTGCCTCTGTCTGTATTAATGAGGGGTGCCACGGGTGGGAACAATTGCCTCTGTCTGTATTAATGAGGGGTGCCACGGGTGGGAACAATTGCCTCTGTCTGTATTAATGAGGGGTGCCACGGGTGGGAACAATTGCCTCTGTCTGTATTAATGAGGGGTGCCACGGGTCCTTATTCTCTCATTTGTTTTCACTGTGGGAGATGTAAAATACAGTCACAGCCATAAAGAGGCACTGAAACATATCCAGATCCATCACTGTTCCTTGTAAATTGACCAGGGTATTTCAAGGGTGAACAATCTCTTGTAAGTTAAGTGTTTCCTCCCCAAGCTGTCGTCCCATAAGACCTCTCCGAACAACGAGAAAAATGTAATTCCCCAAAGAAACTAAATCATTTCTGTGCACTTACCAATAAAACGATCGCTATCTGTTGGCTTAATTGTGCCCAACATACAAGAAGGGAACGTTATCGGACGTACATGTTATTCTCATTGAGCTGGGGTTGAGTACCTAGAGGAACGCTGTTTGCTTCCAGGCAGTTTGTGGTTGCTATTTCCACAGCAGCTGTGACGGACATTAATGAACGAAGCAGCGGCCTAGTAACTCAGGTAGACTGGGGGCCTACCATTTAAATGTTCAGTCAGTCGACCTCAGTGTGTACTGGCGTTAAGATGTGAAGATAGTCATGGTACAGTATATATAGCAGTCCAGTGCAGCCATTGTACATAGCGGCAAAAATGTGTGTGTGAGAGAGAGAGAGAGAGAGAGAGAGAGAGAGAGAGAGAGAGAGAGAGAGAGAGAGAGAGAGAGAGAGAGAGAGAGAGAGAGAGAGAGAGAGAGAGAGAGAGAGAGAGAGAGAGAGAGAGAGAGAGAGAGAGAGAGAGAGAGAGCGCATGGGCATCTAAGCCCGTACCAACATCTGGGCCATAATCAGGAATCATAATCAGGAGCTTCGGCTGTATTAATGTGGTGTTAGTAATTACTTTTCATATCTTAGAAGAAGGGTTTGTCTTACTTGCCACCATCAAATCATGGATTTCGAGCGTTCAAGGTCATAACATAGGAAGTGCAGTTGCCAGGACATGGCGTCCATGACACGTGAGCCAGGGAAGTGTTCTGACACCTTGTTTATATAAACAAACCACACGTGTTGCCTGGGATGTTAGTATTATTGTGAAACCAGGATGAACTACTTGTAACACCCAATCCCGTTCACTTGCGTAAACCACTTTCTATCTGTGCTGCATGTGTTCTTTACGTTGGGTTATCATACTCCGTTGGGGGGAGAAACACAGTAATGAGACACGCCATGCAACCTCGTTACATCATCAAACTTGTTAAGATAAACGAGCGTGAAGGAAAGACATGATGACGCGCATACTACAGCCTGTTTCATTTATTAAACGTTGCTGCTATTCCGTTCCTTGCGTCAGCTAATGTGAGATATAAAACGCCACAGGCACTGAAAGAGCAGTGTTGAGTATCTGTCCATATAGATTTCATTCAGCGAAGAGGGTTAAGTAATAGTGAAACAAATATGAATGATGCACTGAAAATCATTAGTGACGCTTGGTGTTCGTAGAAAGTGTAAGCATGTCCTGCTCAACCCACACAATCTGCAGTGCACAGTAATTTAAGTGTTTGTTGCTTAACGGCGTTCAGCAGTACTGCCATACAGAGGCTGCTTGTAAACAATGGAGCTTTGACCAGATCAGGGGACAGTTGAACAGACAGACCCTTACTAATGGGTTGTAATCTATCATACCAAGGAAATTATACTTGCTTACGCATTCTTTTGTCGTGTATTGCTATCGAAGCATTACATGGAACCTGTTTTTGTGATCCCATGCGGGTACTCGAAGCTAAATGTCCTGGTATAGTTCCCTGGAAGTGATGTGGCCTGACATGACCTGGCGTGGCGTGATATGGCCTGACGTGGCGTGATGTGGCTTGACATGGCCTGACGTGAGCTGATATGGCCTGACGTGGCGTGATATGGCTTTACATGACCTGACATGACCTGACGTGAGCTGATATGGCCTGACCTTGCGTGATATGGCTTAACATGACCTGACGTGGCGTGACATGGCTTGACATGAACTGACATGACCTGACGTGGCGTGATATGGCTTGACATGAACTGACATGACCTAACGTGGCGTGATATGGCTTGACATGAACTGACATGACCTGGCGTGGCGTGATATGACTTGACATGACCTGACATGACCTAACGTGGCATGATATGGTTTGACATGAACTGACATGACCTGACGTGGCGTGACATGGCTTGACATGACCTGACGTGGCGTGATATGGCCTGACGTGGCGTGACATGGCTTGACATGACTGACGTGGCGTGATATGGCCTGACATGGCCTGACGTGGCGTGATATGGCTTGGCATGACCTGACGTGGCGTGATATGGCCTGACATGGCGTGACATGGCCTGACATGGCCTGACGTGGCGTGATGTGGCCTGACATGGCCTGACGTGGCGTGATATGGCCTGACATGGCCTGACGTGGCGTGATATGGCCTGACATGGCCTGACGTGGCGTGATATGGCTTGAATGCTGCAGTACAATGTGTTCTGTACACGGACTTAATGATGCCCCAGGAAGGCATACAGCAGCTTTCAAGGCAGTACACGTGCTGTGTCCGCGGTCAGAAGACGTACTCCCGGAATTTGTAGTATTTCTGACATCACTGAGTTCATGCACTGGGGTCCATGTGGAACCCTCATCATGTCAATCTCGCCCTCCCGTAAATATACCCCAAAAAGATTTATACTTCTCATGCAGAGACACATGGGCTCCACAGGCAAACTCAGCTGTGATGCTATAAAGTCATGGTTGCTAAAGACTGATACTATTTCTTTGAGTGGCATTTTAGAGGTTGGGAAGTGCAATACCGACAAGTTTGTGGATAACAACTTCTTTTACTTTGTGAGTGGCCATAAATTTGTCAGTATTGATAATTATGATGCACTGGACCAAACAGCTGTAGAGGTTCGCCATGCTTCTTCTGAATGCGTATCGGTCTTTACAGAAAGTCATATAGAATGTGTTTCCTACTTCCTTGCTGGGAACTATAAATAATCAAATATTTCACCTTAATTTATGTAAATAACACAAAAGAAAGTGACATTTTGTTTTGAAATTTAATTTAAATTTTAAAATACCAAAGCCTATAGTTTACGGCTTCAGCCCAGTATTGATTAAAATCTATCAGAAAGTAGAAGAAGCTATTCCTGGAAAGAGGGAAGAGTTTCGTGTTTCCAACAATGTCACAAGATGATAAATATAAACATTATCGCTGTTGTTCTGATCATTCATTTTATGTCATGCACCCTGTAAAGGACATGCTAGGGATGACTTTAACATTAGTGCAGCACATTTAAACCAACATAAACCGTTCGCCTGTACCTACCCCTGATGATGGTTCTCTGTTCAGGTCCATGGGGCAGAGAACCGTGAAGACCTTCTTGGTGGAGTAGTCGTTCTTCCATGGTTTCTCCATTGTCACCTTGATCCAGTACCGGAGGTAGCCGTGCTGACCTTCAAATGAACTGGGTAGATTGGCCGGTAGCTCAAACTGAAAGGGGTACGTGTACTGACCAGGGGCCAGGATCCTCTTTTCGTCATTGTTACCAGACCCTGAAAACAATGATAAAGCAATATGGTCATGTCGTTAGAACCAAAGGCCCAAGGACCAAAGGGCACCAATTTAGATAGTCACCAAGATAAAAAAAAATATATGGCAGTAACGTCCGCCTTAGAGGTACGATCTCATCTGGAGGGCCTGTGGACTAGTCACAAGCGCTTTATTCGTACCTGAGTGTGTTGTGTGTGTGTGTGCGTGCAATCGTGCGTGCGTGTGTATTTTCCAGGTCATCCACCATGTACAGTACACACGTGTTGTAGCAAAACCGGAAGACAAACTGCTATTCTCTTACATTTTCGGACACAAATCATCAATGAAAATGAAACAAAGTACACCTAGGCAGCACCCACGGAAGTTGGACGTTCCTTAACACAAACCTATCTGACTTTATATGTTGATTAAAAAAGAGAAATACGTGTTCTGTTCCACAGTAAATGAAAATAAAAGCCTTGACGTACTCAGCATATCATAAATCACGTAGAACTACGGCACGATAAAGCACAGATCAGTGTGTGACTGTCCGTACTTCCCCAGCCTCTCCATGTGTTCGCTTCGCACACAACGTTCCTGGGATTTTTAAATCTGATAAACGTGATCTTGGGTCATCCTCGACTGCTGATCACGGATGCAGATTATGCAGAGAGTATGTTTACTGCTGAAGTGGACAAGTTGTGTGCATGGAAATCGGAAAAGCGGATTAAAAAATTGCCAATATTCTGTACGACTTCGGTATGACTCATGATTTTTATATGTTAAGCGAGTGTGATTGTCCTGCGCCAGCTACACATGATGTAGATCAGAGATCCCAGCTTGCCCCAGAAACAAACTGATAAAAGAGCAAGAAAAGAACAGTTTACTCAATACAAATGGCTCCAACTAACCTTAAATTATGCCTGTTATATCCCTCAAACCCTTATTCATATACCAAATAACAGTAATCATTACCGCTGCGGGGTAAAATCAAAGTCATTATTCCCTAAACTATACACGACTCCGTTATGGCATACTGTAAAACATGGAGTGGAGTCTTGGAGTGGAGGGTTGGAGTGGAGTCTTGGAGTGGAGTCTGGAGTCTGGAGTATATGTGCACTTGCCACTTCAGTAAATACTGATTACTGTTTAGAAATATACCATTAATGGCTCTTCCTAGTTGTCATTTATACCTTTTGAATCACCGGTTTAAAAAAGTACTGCAAATTCATATACATGCTGAAATACCTATTTTTTTTTTTTACAAATATAATGTAACTATATATTATATTTGTAGTTTATACAGGATATTGCCACTGTTCCTTCATTGACTGCTATGCAATAAATATGTTATCTAATTCATCTTAGATATTAGTCTTTCTTGCCTTACAGATTTGGAAATTGTCATTGTTCATATCTATACATAGAGATGCAAATCCTAAAGATAATCCAACACATTTACAGTCCAGATAGTTATGTTTTATTTCTGAAATTTGATATTTATGAGGAAAGTTAATACAAGTATATAAATCATGAATGGGTAGATGGTTTTGTCTTTGTAATTGTGCTATTTGTTATGTAAAACATAAAACCAAACAACAATACTGTATTCACGTTTATATTTTGCTGATGGGACTCCTGATGTCATTTCAAATCTTTTCAGTTCAAAATATGTTACATGTGACATATTTATAAAACAAACTATCTAAACGATGAACGATATATCCTGCCATACTGAAATTTGTGCTGAATCCCTGGGATGGCTGTCAAAGTGTCATGGGTTGAGGACTGGTCATTCATTCTTGGAACAGGGTTTGCCTGGAACTTTATCAAGGCATTGACATTGTAGATGTTTATCAGAACTAAACATCCTGTGGTTGGAAAACAGTAATTCCTCGAAATATTTCATTAATTTCTTTAAAAAGAAATATTGTCAACAAATAACAATGAATACAATGTCTACAATACTTTAACTGGAAAATATATTTGCACTTTCAAGGAGAAGACAGTTTATGTTGGAAAGATTCTTGGCTATACAAGGATTCCTATTGCAGTATTACTATATTTACTACCATAAAGGGTGTTTCCACCAGTTTATCCAAGTGATAATTGAAACATTGGTGGAAACTTTCCATCTATACAAATTTGGTCTGTATACTGAAGAAGAGGCAAAAGAATTCAGTCCCACACAGAAATTTGGCAACTACCTAAAATGGCGAAGATTGTCACAAATTCAAACTCGCTGCAATTATGCTTTCATTTGTAGACAGCAACGTAATCAAGAGTGTGAAAATGTTTACATGGCAATCCTCAGTAGCACTGGTTTAGCTTTCTGCCATTCTGAGGGCAGATCGTATCAGTGATGTGTTGCCTGTTATCTGTCACATTCCAATGGACTGCCCATACATAACCTTACAGAAAGTTAAGATTTTCGAAGGCACAGAGAACTGATGAAACTCACTAACAATCAGCTTGCAAAATATTCAACTGTATTTATTTTTGCTTTTTGTTTGTAAGTTCAAGGATGTAAAAAGATAACTATTTTTATTAAAAAACACAAGACAATTATGACATTGCAACAGTTACGTTTGCCATCACTGACAAAAAAAATCCTGTTCCTGAATAATATAGTGCTATGTATCTTATGTTATCAATTTCTTTGTTATGTAATATGTCTTAGCATAGACCGTATTTCTGTACCTTTCCCTTACAACGGCTTCCTCTACACAAATGTGCATTTGCATGTGTCAATGTTATGTATGTCCTTCATTGGACAATAAATAATGCCATTATTAGTATTTGGTGTATAGGTTGTAAATCATTTCCATCCATACATTCATCTGTTATAGCGCCTAATTCAGGACAGCCATCGTTCAAATATTCCTAAAGATAAAAAAACTATGTAGCGAAACCATGTGAAACTTAATTGCAATTATTTAATCTGCATACTTAATCATTATCACTACCGCACTGTTCATCGTTTTCTTGTCAGCAACCCTGTACCACTTTGTCACTTTCATTAATATGACATTTAGAACCTTAACTGGTCATCCCCCTTGGCCGCGTCTGCCATCACATCCACTGTTACAAAGAAGTGCTATTGTTTCTCTATCTGTCCACTGTTGTGTGCTCGCCTGTCCATTGTTGTCAAAAACTGTATATATATCCTCACATCCATATTGTCAAGGAGTCCGGTATTCCGACTGTCTGTTGGGACGACCACGAGCAGGATAATCCCTCGTAGGAAGGGCATAGTGTAAAGTATGGAATGGATTTTGGAATGGAGTTTGGATTGGAATGATGGAATGGAATTTGGAATGGGAATAAATGGAATATACTCATCTTGTACTAAACAAACCAAGTGTTGTGCCTACCTTCAAACATAAATTAAATTGACAGTTTGTAAACAGTTCGGGGTCGCTTTCCCTCCTGCTCCCAATTTCTTGCACCCCTCCCCCCTCCGGATGTAAGATAAGGCTAGTGGCAGACAGAGGTGTGGCAATAGCCTGTCTCACAGTCCCTTAATCATTTTATTTTCCATTTACCACTGCTAATAATTTGCATTATGAGATGACTGGAATATTATCTACTAGCTGTGTAAGTCGATATAGTAGTACCTTGGTAAATATAGTCATCTGCATCTATGTCTATGGACACAATAGTTGAGTGAACAACTTGTTCTTATTTTGTATATAATCAAGTAATTGTGATTTTAAGTGACAGTTACAGAGACTATGATAATATAGACATTATAGATTGCTTTTTATGATAATAAACAAGATTAATGTCAAAATTAGTTCTAATATATATGTTATTTTCCTTCACATGGTGTTCTGTTGTGCTTCATAAAAATATCATGAGACTATTGTGTTGAATAATCCGTTTCCTCCTCCATATATGTCTAATCATGCCACAACACAGGTGCCTGCCACCATACAGGCATGCAGTTAGCCTTGCTTCAAAGACATACATAATAATAATTGCAGGGATATATATTAGTAATTCTGTCCCCATAATAAGCAAGTCTAGATACGTAGACAGCACGTGCCATCGGCCTTTCTTCGATACATCTTGTTCTTATTATCTACATAACCTAGAAAATAGTATTTGAACTCAAAACTTATTCCCCCAGAATCATGTGCCTTTGAGTGTGTGGTGGATGGGTCATGGCTGGAGAGAGAAGCTGACATCCACGTCCCTTTGCTTAGTGATATATATATCAGTGATCAGCTGTTTATAAACTGTCTGAGCATATTAGAGCGGAGACTTGTTTATAAATAGCAAATTTGTGTCACTCCAAATTCCATTCCACTGTTCCATTCCAAATTCCATTCCAAAATCCATTCCATACTTTACACTATGGTATTGAGCCGGAACTCCACTAACCTCATTCATGTATACTATTACTAATGTTTGTCCTGGCTTGTGCAACCAACTAAAGTAGTTTGAACTCAACCTATGCTTCGTCTTTGTCACCTTATTGTACGTATAATTCCAAGCTAGTTCCCCTGTCGATCATATCTACGCGTTGACACATCCATCCTCCCGATCTATTCATACACATTTTTCTTGATGTCAACAAAGCCCCAGAAGACCCCACTCCAAGACTCCACACGTTTTACAGTATGCCCTCCGTTATACGTAATGTATGTATGAGGAAAATTGACAATATATTAGGACTTTCTTTAACAGGAAATATACCAGCACTATAATAGACGCAATATGTCAGAGTGCGGGTGACGTATCAGAGGCCGGTTATGAGTGCATTGTGTAGTTAAGGACCAAGGCCGATCATCTCTTACATATAACATGGCTGTTTTAGAGCCATTATTTCCTCATGGTGAGGATTTCCTCGGGGTTTGTCTTGGCCAGATCGTGGTTTGTCTTGATTGTTTAGTCTGTTGTGATACAATTGGAACACAAACGCGGCTTAAAAAAATTTACACCTAAGAGTGAACAATAACGTAATGTGAAATATCGGTGAAGGCTGGAGACAATGAAGCAATAACTACGCAATGCAGAT